AGATTATAACATAGGATTTAGTTAGTAAAAAGAGACTTTGTTGATGGGATCAGAGCTTATAAGATAATCGAATATTTAAGCTAAAAAATTCAAGTACAGATAACTTTAGTGTATTTAATCAATAATTCGGATGGAAATTTTAAAAGTTCACAGCTTAATTTACAAGCTTTATTTTTTTTTCTTAAATAAGTCATCACTTTTTGTGAAAAGTTTGTCGATAATATTGGCTTGATAATCCTTAAATAATTTTATCGTTAATCCTACACGGAAGTTTATAAGTTCTTTTAAAAGTATATCCAATCAATTCAAATTGAGAGTTATAAATTGTGAATAAAAAAAAACTTTGATACAATATTTATAAATTGGACATTTTTTAAATGAATTTTAAAGTTACAGAACCAATAACATACATTGATAGAAGGATTTATTTATATTTAGTAAGCTTCATTAACTTAATAAATGATTTTTTAACATAGAATTTAATAAATATTTATTGAATGTTAAAAAATATTTATTAAAATTTAATAAATTGAATAATTGTCTTCGAATAAATTCAATTATAAACAGCTAAATAAATCTTTCTATCAATGCGGGATCATTAGACCTAGAAATATTAAAATTAAATAAAATCTGGGCCCATAACCTGCACCGATAGAAAGATTTGTTTATATTTAATAAGTTTTATTAACAGTTAATAAATTATTCATTAAATACGTATTGTTATTGTTTTAAACTATATTATTATTATTATTTTTAAATTATTAATTTTTATCTTTAATTATTTCCATGTTTTATAAATTTAAAGTTACTACTTTTATCGCTAAATAAAATAATATGAAAATTTTGTAAAACGTTGTGAACACTCGCATTCATAAAAAGTTTATTTCAACCTAAAAAACTCTTGAAAGAATACAATTCTCACACAAATAATCATAATAATAATAGTTTATATTCACATGAAAAGAACTCTGTTTGCGGAAGGTGTTTTACATGAAAGTAAAGTTAACAAAATTTTTATATTAAGCATTTTGTTCTTTAATAAAAATTCTTTCACTAACTTTATCATGTAGATCTTTAACTTTACATATTTTCCGGTCGCATTATTTTTATTTTTTACTTTTAAAAGTTGTATTTGAATATAAAAAGTACTTTTTATGAAAAAAAAATTTATTGTACTTTATATCTTTAATTTTTTTTAATTTAAAAAAATTTTTTTTATCAATACTAAAATAAAAAAAATAAATTTTGATTTATCAAATTCAAAAATTTTTCTTACAATTAATTTAATTTTAATTTTTTAATTAACTTGCTGTTTTTTTTTAAATTTATTTTTTATTTCTTCTCTGTAAATTAAATAAATTTATTTATTAAATTATTTTATATAATTCTTAAATAATAAAATAGAATGAAATAAAATAAATAATATTTGTCTCTTCTAAATTTTTTAAATTAAAATAGATAATTTTAATAATTCTAAAATAATAAAATTATACAAATTCTGTTTTTGCATTTACAGATTTACTCATGGATGCACTGATATTTTAAGGCATTGCAGTAAAACAAACAAACAAATTAAAAATCATAAAATGCATTTTACTTCATTAAAAAAATCTAAAAATAAAAGAAAAAATTAAATTAATATTAATATTACAAAAATTCTGAGAAAATAAATTAGAAAAGTAATATCATATTAAATTGAAACATTTATAACTACATAATTCTGCTGTATTTCCGCTATTTGCTTATCGAGATTATTGCAGTTGTTAAATTATAATCTGAGTAGTACATAAATCAAAATATTTATATTTTTCTGTGAACTTTTCATGAAAATTTTGTTTTTGTATTTATGACCACCAAATTTTCTTATTTATAAATAAATTTTTTAAATTGTTTGAATATTTTTAACTTTATTTAAAAAATAAATTATAGAATAGAAAAATAATAGAAAATTTTTAGAAAATTCTACTCATAATTTTTTTTATAATAATAATTTACTAATTAAAAATTAAATGCGTTAATTTTATGATTATATTAAATCTATAGTCTTTGTAAAAAAAATTTTTAATTAATTGTAATTTTAACAAAAATTTTCCACTTTTATTTTTTCCTAAAAAAGTAGAAATAAAAAAATTATAATAATAATTTATTAATTAAAAATAAAAATAACAATTAATCGTGTTAATTTTAAGTTCATATTAAATGTATAATTTTTATGTAAAAAAATATTTTTTTGATTGTAATTTTAACAAAAATTTTTTACTTTTATTTTTTTTTTTTAAAAAGAAGAAATATAAAATTATAATAATAATTTAATAATTAAAAATGACAATTATAATTCAATGAATTAATTTTAGAATCATATAAAATTTACAATTTTGGTAAAAAAAATTTTTTTTTCAATTGTAATTTTAATAAAAATTTTTCACTGTCACTTTTTTCAAAGAAAGAAATAAAAAAAATCATAGTAATAATTAACTCATTAAAAATAATAATAATACTTGAATGAATTAATTTTAGAATTAAATTTAATTAACGATTTCAGAGGAAATAAATTTAAAATTGTAATTTTAAAAAATACATTTTTCACTTTAATTTTCTTAAAAAAAAGAAGAAATAAAAAATCATAATAATAATTTACTAAATAAATGAATAATAATTCACTAATTAAAAATAAAAATAATAATTAAATTTGTTAAATTAAAGATCATATTAAATTTATAATTTTTAGGTAAAAAAAAATTTTATTAAATTGTAATTTTAATAAAAAAATTTCTCACTTCTATTTTATTTTTAAAAAAGAACAAATAATAAATTAATTAAAAAAATTCTTGAAAGGAAAATTAGAATTTAATGTGTTCATCTTGAAGCATATTTAACGCAAAATAAAAGTCTCACTTATATTAAATCCGTCAAAGAAAATTTTTTTTCCTTGGATAAATTGTATGCACATTTATAAAAACAACAAAAACTGCAAGCTCGAGAATTAATCAAAGTAAAACAAAAAAAAAAAAAAAAAAATAGATAACTCACCATCTCGGCGCCATCCCCAATTTTTTTTCTGACAGTTCCAGTGAACGTAAAAGACTCAAACGGAAATATATTCACTGACAGATAAACAATATTTACATGAAAACTTAGAAAGTTCATACGGTCTTACGCAGTTCTGTAATTATATCGTGAAACATTGACAGTAACATTATTGTTTAAAAAAATACGCGTGCACATCAATCAAAAACTGGTGAGGAAGTTTATAATAACAACAATACACACACGCCTAAAGCGCGAGACTAACTACCTCACGCGTCATATACCTATCGCGTGTTTTTCTGCGCAACATTCTGCGCATGGACATTACAAGAAATAAACCAATCATCGCGCAAGCTTTTTCTCCTTTATACAACGGTGCAAGTAAGTAGAAAAGATACATATTTAGTCAGATTATTATGTTTTTTATTTTAATTAATTATTATTATTATTATTATTATTATAAAAATTAATTAAAAAAATGCTTGTTAATTTTAATGTTCTCAATTTTAATTATAATTTTTTTTATTAATTAAATTAAGACTAAAAAAATATTTTTTAAAAATTGCACGCATAATTATTAAAATTTTAATTTCTATTTTTTAAATAAAAATAAATTATAAAAATTTTAAGGTGTCAGCTGATTAAACTTTCATTCATTTTTACAATTTTTTAACTAATAAATTATGACAAAAAAAATTGATATGGAAAAATTTCAAAAAATAAAAATTGCAATTTTTTTTAAATAATTTTTTTTAACAAATTAAAAAAATTTTTATTTTTTAAATAAAAATAAATTATAAAAATTTTAAGATGTCAGCTGATTAAACTTTTATTAATTTTTTTAACAAATAAATTATGGCAAAAAAAATTGATATGGAGAAATTCGAAAAAAATCGAAATTATAATTTTTTAAGAATGATTTTTTTTAACAAATTTTTAAAAAAGGAAAAAGGGCATTCTATACGAAATGGGAAAATGACAAAAATTTTTTAATTTCTCTAATTCATTCTAATTTAGTCCTAATTTATTATTAAAAGTTAATATTTTACTAATTTGTAAAGAAAAATAATTTTTTCAGCACTTTTCACAATCGAAAAGTATTTTTCTAAATTTTTTCTTCAATCGAGTTAAAACATGTGATGCGAATATGTGATAAAAACTTATCTCTAACTTTATAATTTATCAAAAAAAACTTTAAATAAAGAAAGAGATATGACCTGGAAATTGCAACCAGAATGTTTAGAAACTAGATTAAAGTTTTTGAGTATGGAAATTTGATTTTTACGCGTTTAAAGTTTATAATCAATTTTATAGTTTTCTTTAATAAATAATAAAAAATTTATAATTTTATCTTTTAGATGGCTTATTTAATTTAAAAAAAAAAAGCAATAATAAATAACATTTAATAACAATCACTATTTATTTATTATTTAATCTTATACAATATATATAAAAAACATAAGTTTAATATTATTATTATTATTATTTTCATAAAATCCAATACAAAATTTAAATTTAGTCATTTTTTATGAATTATAATTATTTTCAGTAAATTAAAATTAAATAATAAAGTACTTGATCTTTAAAAATTTAAAGACTCATATTTATTTTATATTTGTTCCGCAAGTATTAAAGATAATAAAGTCACTATTTTAAATTCTGAGGACAACACTCTTACAATACTATAAAATCCATAAATGTTAAACTAAGGTAAAAATATTTATTTACCTTTTTTGATTTTTTAAAATTAAAAAAAAATCTTAAAATTATAATATAAAAAATTTATAAAGACTTTTTTACTCAATAACATAAAAATCTTTGTATCTTTTTAAAAATAAATGCACATTTTGTATATTACATATAATTTTTTTTTAGTTAAAAATTTTTATGTACAAGTTCACTTAGATCTTTCTGTTTTACTTGTTTATCATTTTTTTTAAAATTTTATTTTTTGTTAATTAAAAAATAAAAAATTATCCAGAATTGAGGAATAATTGATAAACATAAGATCGAATTGATTTAATCATTTTTTCAAGCATAGTCGCAATAGAGTTATCAATAACTCTTTGTGGAATCCATCCTTTTAAATCTAGATGAAGTATCCAAGTTACTCGACATTGAGCTTCACTATCATCATTTGAATTTATTGGTTCTGCTGCCAAGCAGACAATAGTGTTTTCAGCTCTGGAAATATAAATATTTTTTATTTATTTATTTTATCATTAAAAAAATTTGAATGATCTATATTATTAAGAGAATACGAAAAATGATAAGTATTTAGAGATTTAAAGATATAAGCTCATCTTGATATTACACCCATCGGAACCTTTCATTTGAGTACCCACATCAATTTTTCATATATTTATATATATTATATATATGTATATATGAAAAATATATAAAAATGCATGTGGGTACTCAAACGAAAGCTCTTGATGAGTGTAACATCGGGATGAGCTTATATCTTTAAAAATTAATGATATATATTTTTTTTTTTTTTACCGACATGATAGTATT